ACGGTAATTACATTGAACCTTATGGGAAAATTTACTTTGACTTGCGACCAACTCGACTTGCCATCAGAGTCACGGAATGGATTAAGTTCGTAAGTAGAGGTACCACTGTACAAATAGTTAAGTATCCAATTATGTTAATATGATATGCTGGCTGGAGAGTTCTGGGAGTTGAAGTCCACATATCTTAAAGTTGCTGAGATTGAGAAGCACTGATTTAGAGGCTGCCCAACTTTGAATGACTCTGGGTGGCTTGCAATAAAATAAGAGTACAGATCCTATGAATTCAGAAGAAATACTTTTATTGGATGGACTCTGCATTCCACAGTGTGTCAGTGGCGCAGATCTTGAACCTGACAGCAAAGAAAAACTAACAGAAACTGCAGTCGTGGGAGGCCTACCTTCCTTCTTGAACCACCCCGGAAATTCCAAACAGGCCAAAGTCAGTGATCACAACTTTTCCATTTTCATAGAAAATGTTCTTGGATTTGAGATCTTTATGCACAATCCCTTTTGCATGAAGATATCCCATGCCCTAGAGGGAAAAAAAAATCACACATACATGTATGCATAGGAGAATGAATGTTAAGCAGAAAAATATATAATTGTTTCAATCTTGTTTCAGTGTTCATTCAAAATCCATTCAATTGCCAGATTCACACTACATAGGTGGGTTGTTTGACTTTTACTTAGCAAATTGTGTGAAGTTAACCACTGTAAACCACAGTTAATGGCTTTGTGTGTGAATTCAGATATTGTGGTTTACTAAACCATGGTTAAATGGCAATAGTTTAGCACAGCGGGGGAACACCCAAACAATGATTCAATGGTGGTTTCTTTTAAAGGTGCCCGGCAGCAGCAAAGCCTGTGATTCCTGTTATTTTCAGACCCCACCACAGCCAACAATCATGAATACACATCTAGGTTTGTTGCCAGTGAATAGGTCCTGTTGCTTGGACCAAGGTTATGAGTCTGCTCAGGGGAAGAGAATGTAGCCTTAAATAAACACTGTGTGGAAGGAGAAAGAGATAGGGAAACATAATAAAAAATGAATGCGCCTAAGTAAAATCCAGAGATTCTCTCACAACTGCAGTCCAGTTCAGTGAAATTGTTCTCCTCCACCAGAATGAAGCTTGAGAAGAGCAGCTGTCTTATTCAGAGGACATTCAACACAGATCCCTCTGCAAACTTCTTCTTACCTTAATGATCTCCTGAGCTATCTGCCTGGTCTTGTTGATATCCAGAGGTGTTTTGGGATCCCTGACTACTGAGTGAAGCGTCCTTCCTTTGCAGAAACTAAGGAACACAGACAAATACATTACAAAGAAAACTTAGCAACAACTGAAATCTATTGTAGAAGCAGTACAGGTTAGGGTGGTGCAGTGGTCTGGATTCAGAGATGGGTTGGAGTGGCAGGGATCAGCAACTCCTTAAAGAAGCTGTGTCTTTTCCTGGGGTCTTCTGGCTGCTGTCTGCAGCTGGAACAATCCTAGGAGAACTTGCTTGGGTTAAGGAGATGCTGATAGATGATACTTTTGTGCCCATACACGTTCTGAATGACTTTTCCCCTTAGAATCTGGACCTCTGCACAGCCTCCTTCATGCAATTCCAAAATACCTCCATCCTGTTGTCCAAACTAGCTGTGCCTGCCATGAAAACCCAGCTTGTCCCAGAAACAAAGTTGGTTTAAGTCTGCCCAGTTAGTGGAATAAGTCATGGATGACATTCTCAAAACACTACAGTTTAGCAAGGTTTCAAAGCAGAATCTAGTGAAAGTAAATTGCAGGCTATTGCAACTACCCACTATGGAAGTAAAATTATATCTTAAAAATATACAGATCTAAAAATAAATCTCCAGTTGTCTTACAGTAAGTATTCAACACTGGCATTGTTACGACATTTATTTTTTAAAAACTAGAAATTCCATTAGCATTAACCCAAAGTAATAACACAACAGAATTCCCTTCAGCATAGATTAGGGAATCTCCATTAGGGGGAGACGGGTGGAGATAAATCAAATAAATAAATAAAAGATTGCATAATATTTTGCAAGCACACACATATTTGTATGTGTAATTTGATATATTGTAATTAAATTATTAAATAAATATGTGACATATTTAGGGGATATGTATCAATTTAGTATGTACATATTTCACTTTTTTTCTATTGATTTTTTTTATTTTTGTTTTGGTATTATAATTTTATAACTAATTGAGTTGTTCTTTTAATCTGTTAATTTATATAGCCACCCATCTCACACAAAGCGACTCTGGGTGGTGTACAATAATTAAATAAAACAGCAAATAGATAAAAAACAATAATTAGATAAAAAGTACAGTAATTATTAAAATAAATATTATCAAAAAATTTAAAATATACAAACCCCATGGAGAGAGCAGAATATCAATCATAGTGGAGCCATCAATGATTGTTTTCTTTGGATTTCTTGTTTAAACATTGCAACAAAATTATTTTCCCTTTTTTAAAAATCAGGGGGAAAATAGCTTTTTTGAGTTTGCAAAAGATATTACAGGCGCTCTGCACCAGCACATTCAGCACCTTAGGCTTAGATATTGTTTCAAGGAAGTATCATATATCACAGGAATTAACACAACTGTAATAGCTCCCAAAAAGTCAACCCAGCTGGATATAGGGCAGAGATAACATTTTTGTCAAATGAGGGCTAAGAAATGAATTTGGCTCATAAGCAAAACTCCTTCTTCCTCCTCTTTTTGAAGGTCACTGTAGAAAATTTTCGCACTTTGACTGTCTCATCTTGTCTGTTAACTCATCTTTAACTCCAACCCAATATACATGTAAGCTGCTAAGTCTGACAAAAGTTAACCACAGTTAGATTGAATTCATACATTGCACTAAAGCATAATGCGTCTTACTCGGTTTTGGCTTTAGCGTTGCATGGTTCCACCTACTATAGCTTGTAAACTATCACTGTGGTGTAATTAGGACAGGATGTGGAACCCTGGCAATTACAGCTTATTCAACCATTCATGGATAAACAACCCACGGCTTAATAGGGCAACGTATGAACCCAGTTTAGTGTTATGATTGGTGCAGATAAATACTGGTTGTAGACAGGTTTAAAAGAGAAATAGAAGATGGAGGGAGAGACTAATCCTGCAATATGCGTGATTTTCATTTTATTTGTTTTTTCTTTGAGAATATCATCTCAGTTTGCTTGATGATACCAATGGCTTTTAGTCTTAAAGCTCCACTTGGGGAGGAAAACAGCACAGGTAGTTCAACCTACTTATTCTTCTGCAGCCACATGGGACCCTTTTCCATCCTGCATTTCAATTGGCAGATCACTCAGGTTCTCTGTAATAAATTACTCAAGACTACGCAGTTAATCTTCAACAAGAAACTGAGTCCTTCCTACAGATTCGGCATTTAGAACACTCAATAACTTAATGGTATGGATTTGAGAACTGGAAAAAGCATTGGTTACAGTCTTAATAAGATAAACTCCTTTTTTTTACCAAGAATTTTCTCCCAAGGATCCAAATCACTGGTTGGCCACAGGGATCATGGGTATCACTGCCCCATCGCAATATTCTTTGAATTAAAAAAAACAACCCTCATGTGATTGCCAGGACCACAGTTTGGTTGTTTTGCACAATTCCTCACGTGGGTAGACTCAAATCTTGTGAAACCCCGTATGACAGCATGGCTGGCTGGGGAATTCTGGGAGTTGAAGTCCACTCATCTTAAAGTGGCCAAGTTTGGACAATACTGCTGTATGAGATTTTGAGGAGAGATGGCTAAAAACGGATAATTCACAAGATTTCAGGCAATCATGGGGATGGCCTCCGGGACTTAAAAATGCTGCCAGTTCTACTCCAAAAATCCAGTTCTTGGGCACAGAACATGGGAGGTTTGGACATCAAACATGGCATTTGTCTGTTAAAACAATAAACTGCCACTTTTAATTTTCCCAACAGCTACTAAAATTGAATTGGAGTTACGTAAAATTTTGCAGCGTATCTTAAAATGCAACCTAAGGCTGTTGAACTTACTAAGAGTATTTAAAAAAAGGGCACAGGGATTAAAATGTACGGCAAAGCCTGTGAGATGGTTATCCTGATGCTTGTTTATAGTTTTATCCTGTTGATTGTGTATTTACTGTTCTGTTGTTGTTAGGTTGTATTTTGGAATTGCTGCTAGCCACTCAGAGTCATGACAATGAGATGGGCGGCCATACAAATCAAAACAAACAAATGGGCTGAGATCTACCAAGATTATGATCCTTACCTGGTAATGATGGCTAGATGAGGGGGGTTCATGCAAGCACCCATAAAAAGCACCACATTCTCATGCCTGGTTTGCCGGTAGTTCATCACTTCTTTCTTGAAGAGCTTCAGATGGTCCTGGTTGTTCCCATCTATCTCCAGTAAACGGATGGCCACCTCTCCATGCCATCTCCCCCGGTACACCTTGCCCCACCGTCCTTGGCCAATAGGGTCACCCAGTTCAATCTGCTCAAAGGGAATATCCCACTCCTGCAAGTAGACACTGGTTTGGCTAGCCTTGCGTGAGATCATCCCCCGCCATCGAGATCGCCGGGTCGGCAGGTCATCAATCTCGTCTTCATCGTCCTCAGCTTCCAACTTGTTTTGCTCTTGGTCTTCCACGTGCTTGGAAAGAAAGGGGGAACAATGGCAGTGCTGATGAACACGCCAGTTCCAGTACTTGGAATCCCACCACATTTTCCCCAAACAGAACCAACCATGTAGCAGTATCTATCTGGGCCATCCTCTGCCCTTTCTCATCCAGGGCTTCTTATGTTCAGCTTTTACGGTTACCTACATATTCACCAAACAAACTATAATCATAACATGAGAATTGGCGGGGCCAACCTTTGCTCAGTCAAGAATCCAAATTACAACATGCCCAACAGATGGATCATCAACCTCTGCCTTCCAGCAAAGGAAGGCCCATGATCTTCTTAGGTCATTGGTTTGATAGTTGAACTGCCTTCCTATTCAGATCATTATAATGTGATGTAAAGGATATCATATAACATAGCCTTCTCCAGTTGCATGTTTTCCAGACATGCTGGGATTCCATCTTCCAGAATTTTGGTGACTGTAGTCCCAATACATGGAATATGGGCATGTTGGGCAATCCAAAATATTGCAGAGCAGGAGTGAATTTTGAGTTTATGGTGTGGGAAGGAAGGAGAAACCATACTAAAGGAGTGTAAGACAGAGTGGAGAATGGAGATAAAAATAAAAGTTTTCTCCACTACTGGAACAGGAAGTCATTCAGTTAAGAGATGGGCAAGACAAATTATGCTTCTTTCTATAACTCATGATTTATTTTATAGAATGCACTGTCAAAAGCAGTGGGTGTTGAAATTAGCTTAACTGCCTTTAGAAAGGATTGAGAGAAATTGGCAGAGGAGGAAGAATGTGAGGGTCATGACAGCATGATGTAAAAGCTCCATATTGCCCCTGAGTTTAGAAAGAGCATAATTTTCAACACAGGGCAAAACATCTCTGACAATGTCACTGCATGGAATGCTGCTATTCTGAGAAGCTAGATGGCCATGCCTACTCCTAGGATACTCCATTCCTCCTCCTTCCTCCAACCTTCCATTTTCCATGGCTATTCTCAGCATTCAACAACTCCTCTCAGCGTTCAGAACTGCTGCAACCCATCTCTTGAATGTGAACAGTGCCATTTTGATTTCAAAACTTAGTTCTGGAACACAAGCAATAGAGGGGGTGATGACCCTTACCAAGCTAATGACTCCCCCTTCTTTGTTAACTTCATTTGCTAAAGTGGCAAGCGCTGTTAATACTATTTTACATGCAACTGCTAGCAAGTGGGAATTTACCTCGGTGTCCCGTTCTTCAACCCCATCAGCCTCTAGGGGCACCTCAGCATTGCTGGAGAGAAGAGAAAAGAGAATTAGTGAACTGATATTGCAGGATCATTATTATTCTTTGAATGTACATGCTGTCAACTCTGTTCAGACTCATGTTGCAGGAGCATTTATTTTAGCTATTGCTATCAAAATAATGCTGCAGGGGGTAAGTTATAGGAGAAGGAAGCTCAGAACTGGGAAGACAATTCAGTAGAGTGGTTCCAGTGCTGAACCACAACTGGCCATACCTGGGTTCAAATCCCCAGTCAACCACGAAACTCACAGCACAATCTAGCAAAGTCACTCTTCTCAACCTCAAAGTTTTGTTGTTGTGAGAGTTATTTCTCAGACTGATAAAAGGAACAGCGGTTAATAAAACAATTAAGAGATGCAGGCTACAGGCCTTTACAAAACCATCAAACTTCCTCAACTCAATGTTGAAAAAGTGGCAGGAAACAGAGAAGCATTTGCTACCATCGCCTGCGTATATAGGGGGCTCATTTGAAAAGACAGTCCTTGCTGGAATTCTTGCGTCATGGCCTTAACTTTCCTTCTAATAACTACATTCAATCCTCATTATCCACAGGGGTTACATTCTTGAAAACCCCTGCTGAAGCAGAAAAAGCGGCCATTGCAGCATGAGAACACGTGATCTATTATCAGAACCACATGGAGACTTGTTATCACAACAAACACTGCGAGAACAAGAACGTGGTTCCCTTGATGTCACTTCTGTCAAGTTGTGCGGTAAGACGCTCAGACTTTTTTCCCTACTGCACATGGCTGGGTAGAGACCATGTTTGATGAAAAATAGGTGAATCTGCAGTAACAGAATATGCAGTTAATAAGGATTGAGCGCACTAGTCATCAAGGCTCTCCGATTCTCATTTCTGGGATGAACTGCTTCCAGTCTAGGCTGCAGAGAAGAAAGTCTGACAGTTGTGAGGACCTCCTACAGGGAAGGACATTAAAGGCAAGGTGGAATAAGATGTATAACACACCCCACAGGATGTATAACACAATTCTGTTGCAGTAGGCATGGTTTTTTTTTTATTCTGAGGGCTACTTTTCTTCCCCACCCCTTCCTGCCCTCTCAGCAAAAGAAAAACTTTTATTCTCAGCTAGTAAACCTGTTTAAGCCTTATTCATCAGTGCTGCAGAATGAGGGCTTCTGCATCATCGTTCCCCCGCTTACGGAAGCCCTGATTTCAGCAACAGAATGATACTAACACTGGGCTACAACCCACCTTGCAACTTTTCAGACATTTTCTGCTCCTGCAAAAGAGGTCTCTGTTTTCTCATTTCTTTCAAACATTGCTGCAGAACTGATGATTAAAGAGTAAAGGGAAATGCTGGAAGCAAGAACAGACTTACTTAGTACTTTCCGTAGCTTCAGGAGGCTGCGTTATTTGTGGAGTACCGGGAATTTCTACAAGAAAGAGGAATATATGAAAAAAGACTGAAGTTTACAATCCTCAAGTTCTCACTGTTTTTAGTAACCGCTGTAACATTCATCAAAGGAATATTTATCTGCACAGAACTAAAAGACAAAATGTATACCTGACAAAGCCACAGGGTAAAGCTCACCTGAGGCCGGACTACTTTAAGTTGGAGGATCACACACCCTCTATAAATTCCTATCTGCAAGTAGAAAACTAGGCTGTAATCACTCTCCCTGAAGTGCTAGCTTTCTACAAGCAATGCTGGATTTAATAGTTTGTTTTCACATGTAGGAGCTTTCCAAAATGGGATTTCCTCTACTGCATCAAAGCTATGGCTTTCAATCTGAAAGACTGCCGATCTTGATCAGTGGCATCCACAGGGGGAGGGGGGAAGGGTCAAAAAAGGCAAGATGGCGGTGTCATTGTGATGCAAACCCTGTCTATACAAAAGGTGTTATGACATCACATCTGCCATCTTGCCTTTGAGACCCCTCCCTGTGGATGCAACTGATTCTGGCATCAGCACTACTTTTATGGATGTTGTTCATAAAAGGAGCGAATACATTGAATTGATTTGTGCAGAGAAAGGGCAAACAAGAAACATACCTCATTAAGTCGCAATAATACAAAGCTATACAACTTCCAATATTATAAAATAACAGGAATTTAAGCAACACAAGGTAACAAGAAAAATGAACTACGTGTTTTCAGTAAGCAGGAATGCAGTTTGAGTGCAACGTGCAGAAGAAAAGTCCCTTCTCTCTCTCTCTCTCTCTCTGTGCTTACAAGAAGGGAGCCTGGGGAGGACAAAGTGACGCTTGAGCAACTGATGTTTCAGCAGCTACGTGTTAGAAGGTAAACTTACCTGGAAAGATAAACTGTTGTCTATGCTGAATGTAATGAGCAGCTGTTTAGTTTGGTTTTGTTTAGGCAGAAAAAAAAAGAGAAAAAAAGGGACAGAGAAAGACAAAATAAAAGGTGACAGAAGTTAGCATGTGAGGCAATTATTGTGTGTGTGTATATATATATATATATACATATATGCAGTAAATTAATACCAGTTCAGAGTTAGTAAACTGTAAACAAGCAACCAGTGAGAATGCTATTGAGTGCAGGCAGTTAAAGGGACATGCAGCCAGGCTGGAAAATGCTTTATTTCTTTTGAGATTCAGAAGAGGCAGAAAAATGCTTTCTGTACTGGAGAAACGGACCTGGGTTATGTTACCTTAATTCACAGACCAAGAGTTCCTTTCCCCTCCTTTCCTGCCACCCACTGCCAGTCTACTCAGCAACATTCACCAAACAACCAAAACATTTCCTTAGCCTCTTAGCTGAATGAAAGGACATGCTAGCAATCATTATCTTGAATTTACACTTTTGATAAACCTACTTACGGTGAGATGGATTTTAAGTTTACAGATAGGGCCATGAGAGGGTTTTTTTTTGTTTTTTATTTTAAAGAAATGCCTACAGTACATAACAATGTTTGCTTTTTACAGAGAGGGAGCAACTTCAGTCTGTTTTAGCAAACACAAACTCGCATAGAATGTATGGAACAAGAAATGTATTACAACAGAAGCTTTGATGAACAGATCCCTGCCAGGAATATACAAACACTGTTCTATTCCACAAACCTTTCAGCCTAAGAATATTTTGGAAGTGCGCAAGTTTTCTGGGGAGGGGAGGGGAGGGGAGGGGAGCAGAGCAGATTTGCTTTTTGAGTGGTCTGCTAGAGACCCAACGCCAAAATGCCGGCAAAGACAGAAACATAGGTGTGGCAGGATTTTTAATTACATTACAAATATCACCAGGCTAAGTTGTTTTGGTTTGAACTGTCCTAGGTGCTTTTGGGCACAAGTAAGCTCGGGGTGGATCATTCCTACTATCAAGATGAAAGTGAGTTGAGTTTATTGTTTTCATCTGAACATCACCCAGACAACTTTTGTTACTGGGTGACTGATAAAATAAATTAAAGCAAGTTGCCAAGCAAAAGAAAAAGCATATTAAGACAAATAGGTTAACTTGACTAATTTTTTGTTATTTGATTGGGCAGTCTACCCAGAAGGCCTTTGGCAAACCTGGGTTTTAGCTCTTCCGAAACCAACCTACCTGGGAAGTTGAACCGACTGTCTCGCTGGCCCACAGGAGACGGGTTTGGGGGAGGCGTCGCGCTGGGGGGGTTGGAAGATTGGAAGGGGGCTGGAGAAGACGGTGTGGAAGAGGTGGTGGAAGACGGATTGCTGCTTGAGTCGAGGTGGTTAATTGCTGTGGGGTGGTCCTGCGAGAGGTGAAAGCAACACAGAATTCTTGGAAATAAGCCGCTTTTGAGGAGACGGGAGGAACCCTCATTCTTGGCTTCCCTCCTGTAGCCTTTTAAGACTCTGACTGACAAGCCATAACTGGCTAAGTCTGGCCAACCCCTTAAAGCCAGGATGTGCCACTCACAAGCCACTTGCAGCCTTTTTCATCCCAAGATTGCATTCCCTATAGATTACAGGGCTAAAATCTGGCATCTAGTTACTGGTTTTCAGCAGCACAGATTTCACTAGAACGTAGTCGCTAAACACCATGTGGGAACCCAGCTGGAAACAGTTATAACTTTGGCCTGACCCAGCATGGCTGTTTGCAAAATGCAATACCTTTTTGGCTTGGGCTTTTGGGAGAGTCCCAAACTGCGGTTCTGAAGGCCGGTCCACTGGATTATTGATATCAGAAGGGACGCTCTCTGTTCTCCTTAATCGTGGTACTATTGAAGCAGAGAGGAGAGAAGATGGAGACCACCGCATGTTACTTAGCCTTCTTAAAGACACAACAGCAACATTGGACAAAAACAGCAAGTAATTTGGTAAGAGGAAGGAAAGTTAAAAAAGAACCAGAAAAGGAAGCACTTACTGGGTAAGAAAGATATTCTACAGGGAGGGGCTTCTTTGGTGCACTTGTTATGACATTTTAATCTGCAAAAGGGAGAAGACGTATGAGGCACAGGCTAAGATAAATTGTAGACAGATTGCAGAACAGGCTCACTGCTTTGTCACTTAATGGAAATGAATGCTGGTTTATGTGGCCCTAAGCCAGCATCCTAATCATTACATCATGCTGGATTTTTTTTTTTTTTTTTGAAGCCAGGGAAAACCTAGCATCATAATCTAATTCAGTCTTTCTTAACTTTAGCCAACCTCATGCTGGCTGGGGAATTCTGGAAGTTGAAGTCCACACATCATGTTGTAAAGTTGCTGAGGTTGAGAAAAACTAATCTAACTTCCTAATGTTCTGGTTTTACTTCCAAAATGCTCTAGAGTCCTACTGCAACAGCTCTATTCCATGAAACCTCTGATTTGCCCTACTTGCAATCTCTCCAGTAATTCATCCAAGCCAATTTCCCAATAAGGCACCAATTCTGTGAAGGGCAACCCATCCCCAACAGTCCATCATCTAGAGCAGTGTTTCTCAACCTTGGCGACTTTAAGCTCTGTGGACTTCAACTCCCAGAATTCCCCAGCCAGCAAAGCTGGCTGAGGAATTCTGGGAGTTGAAG